CCTTGACCAGCCAGTTGTCCTTCTCGCACCAGGAGCCAGAGTTCTTGAGCTGGTTAAAGATACCCTCTCCAAACTGACCATGGAAGATAAGTTTGAGGTTGTCCCAGTAAGCGACAAAGTAGTGCTTGACATCAGCAAACAAGCCATTCTGACGGATCAGGTCCAAACCGTTAGAGGGACGAGGCGAACCAGGGCGGTGTTTGGGAATGTTAGCAAAGACATCTTGGATCATGTTGTTGAGGCTGGACTGGGACTGCTCACAGAAGAATTGGAGCTCAGGATCGGCAACACAGCGGGCGGTCGACAAGGCATGGCTGCCAGAGGGTTTCTTGGCGGAAGTGTGGTGCTTGGCGGCGACCTTGGACGAGGAACCAGCCTCGACGTTAGCGGTGCACAGGACAGCAATAGCGCAGCCAAGGAGTGTGAGATAGGGCAAGAATGAGAGTCTCATAATGGATACAGGTGATCAAGAGAGTTGGGAAAGAGAAAAAGAGAAGAGGAGAGGAAGGGCAGGGGAGGCAGTGAGTCGCTGAAGCGATAAATCTGTATCGATGTGGGGAAATGACGGCGAGTTTTTATAAGGATGGTGAAGGATCAACTTTGGGGTATCCATCATTACTACATACCTCATTCCTCAGAGCTCTTCAAGGGATTTAAAAAAAAAATTAAAAAAAAAAAAAATGCTCTCACCCGTGTTCCCATCCTGGATGCTGCATTACCAGCCATGTGTTGAGGGTATGCATCATGTCTAAGGGCTCCGAAACAAGAATTGTCGCTTCCTTTGTTCTTTCGCCGTTTTTTTGACTGTCCTGGATTTGCGTTCTTGGCCCTACCAAGCCCATGTATAGTCTGGGGATAAGAAACACTACGTCCTAGATTTGTAAAGTACATGTAGAGCCCACATGTGCAACACGCGTGTGAACTAGTCAGGACGATAATTTATAGTCCAACTCAGGTATGGTATGTACTACAAGGGTGTACACGGTGCCTCGCTTTGTCTACCAGCATGCTTAACCTTGTCCAATATATTGTCCCACAGTAGTACATCGAAAATAAACCTTTCAGGATTCTTCGTTCCTTCGTGAGCAAATGGTCGAATGAGTACACATTGGACAAGGACGAGGCGCGATAAAATCGAGCGGGCGAAATTGTGAAGTGTCGATGGTGAGAATGCTGTGGAGAGAATATTACATTGAAAAAGACCACACCAAAGCCGTGGTTCACGGCTGGTAATAGAGACATACAGCGACAGAGTAGTCAGAGGAGGAAGAAGACTCCATGCAGGTTTTTTTGTTTTTTTTAATTTTTTTTTTTTTTTTGTCCCTAAAGCACGAGGGCGGCTATAAGGATAATGACCGAAACAAAAGAGAGCTGCTAATGTTTGCAGTTGGAGGTACGTCTTTTTTTCTTTTTTTTTTCGAGAGGACATTGAGAGAACCACAAGAAGTAGCACGCCAGTATGGCGAGACAGCATCAGAGTCAGGCGGCTATACGCGTCCTCGTTCGCTCTCTCGTTGTCTCTTGGCTATTTTTTTAGTCTCAAAACCAGCCCACGCACTATACCATGTTGCCGTACGACAACAATACTACCAATACATCCCAACGTTGTCTGGCTAGCCGGCGCTTCGCCTTTGCCTCCTTTACTTTCCTGAGACCACGAGCTCAATAATCGACTGGCGTTTAAGCTCAGTCAACACCATCTGCTCAGTTGTGGCCTGGTATTTGTCGGCATGCCCTCTCGTCGCCATATTGACCAAACTACCAGATATCGTCATCTCCCAAACTCCCAAAGCCAGTGAGGCCCTTGCTCGTCCCAACAACTCAGTGTTTATCAGCAAAGAAAATGATGTGCAAGACTCCTTGACCAAGATCATCAGCAAACTTGCACCTAATGTTCAAGGAACTATTCTTTCGTTGAGTCAAAGACGGTTGTATCTGACCAAAGTGATGGACTTTAAGGTTCATTAACACGCTTTTTTCTTCTTTTTTTTTTTTTTTTTTTTTTCCTCGCCATGTTCTCGCAGCTCTACAGATAGCTGATCTTTTAGACAGCCTCAAGAAGACATTTGTAGCATTACTGGATACTGATTGTCAGCAGCCCACGAGCGAAAGACGGTGTCCTACAGAAGCCTCTTTATGACTATGCTTAATGGACAAGTTAAGGCCAGCAGCTCTTTTGGTTGTAAGCAAAAAAAAATAAATGCCAAGGACGCATAGTAATTGCCTGATCACAGAAGTAACCCGCAACATACCGAACAAAATTGCTCAGAGCAATGTAAAGGTATGAACTGAAGGTCCAGCCAACTGTATTTGCAATGCGGAAAGAGTATGCGAAGGCGCTCCTTCTTTTGCTTCCTGTACATCCTTATCAACATAATTCAAATTTGCGCATCCATGACTTGGACTCGTCCTCTTCTGGCTCGCCCTCCTCTGCTTATCGTTCATGTCGAATGCGGAAAGTCCATCTTCCCAATATTACGAGCACAATTGCAAAGGACAAGCTGTGAGTTCATCGCGTACCTGTAAGTACGACGAAACTGGATGACGCATCAAACCTGTGCACTCTCCAACTTGCACATGGGTACTAACAAAGTGAGCAGGACCACCTTCTGTATGGCCCCAATACAGGTTCCACGATTCAAAAGCTGCTCTATTTAAACCCAGGCCGTCTAAGGTAGAAAGATGTTGTTCGAAGAGTTCACAGATTATCAACAAAAAAGAGGACAAGAGTGAAAATGGACACGACCTCTAGGGACTAGGAGTTCTCACACAAGTATCTTTGGATGAACTCGCGGATTAATCTGAGGTCGAGGTCTTCACAGTGGCTCAAGAGATATTAGGAGGAACCCCACTCTAGATCGGCACAAAAGGTGGCACAGCCATTAAGCCATCCTGGGTGTCCTTTTGCCCAGCAGATAAAGCCCAAATAGCTATGCCAACCTTTGTGCCAATTTGAATTGAGTTGGTGGCAATCTTTGTGGAATCGTTGGACTGCCGGCGCACTTGGGTTGAGTCGTGCTCTCTCTAGTCGCCGTGGCATCCTAATCAACGTCAATATCGAATTCGTCGAATACTTTTATCAGCCAAGACGTTTTGTTAGTGTACAAGGGCATGCAGAAAAATCAGCGCCGGAGAGGAGACAGGAAGTCTCCAATCCCTGGACCAACTCCATTGACTTTCGATTTATCGATCACTTAATCGGACCAGGGGTCGCATCGTCACGACTTATCACAAGCGCTCACTTCCCAATTAATCAAATTGATGTTTCCAAGCTATTGATGGATGCGCAAAGATCAATGAGCCGGAGTAGGTGATGTTGATGGCGTAGAGGGGGACCAGCGAAAACCTCTGTGCGTGCAAAAACTAATGATAGACCGCACGCTAAAAGGTGCCGGGGCCAAGAGTTCCTAGTAGCTGGATTCTTGAAAGATGTAAGTAACGTTTGCTTTTAGCAATATTTCTTACGTGAAATGATCATGGTGGTATTCTCTTTAGTCATATGTATAACGAGGTGTTGGTCCCTTTAAGAGGAAGATACCCGAGAAAGATGCCATGTAGCCAACGCTTCTGGGCTCTAATGCATATCAAGTGCCAGCACATATAGTGGTAGCCTATATCTACCATTTAAAAAGCTGGTTTTCGAAAATCCATGTAGAAGTTCTAGAGTTCTTAGCATAAAAGCACTTAAAAAATGGTATTTCCAGCAGCCCAGGTCACTTTCAGCCAGAATATTTTTCACTGTTGTTATGCTAGTAGTATGCTCATTGGATTCAGCAATTGAAATTGCATATATCATGTTTGTTTGGTGGGGCTTTTGGCAGTTATATATTTCTGAAGTGTTGCCTAGGGCCTTCTTGAACGCGACTTTCGGCCACTGTTCGTCTCTGTGAGTATCCATCGTCTCCAGAAAGTTCAGGTTTACTCTGGTTAACATTCTTCCTAACACTCTCTAACCGCTGGAAAAGACCAGGAACGATTATGATTGATATGAGCGGCTTTAACCATCGCTGAATAGCAGCTTGGGGCATAGGTGGTCATTGCGAGAAGTGCTGCACAGCATGACTGTCACTGGTACCTGGTATTCTGACGAAGTCGAGCAGGTCTCTGTCAGACTTTGAGACTTCCTGCAAGATGTACAACTTGAAGGACATGTGTGTTTTATTTGAGCGTCATACTATCATCGATATCTTATATTTGGAATGAATAGATGTTATACTATCATGTCGTCCAAGTCGATCGGAACATGGCGCTATGATCTGAAAGGCCTCTACGCGTGACCATACCTAGATTCTTGTGCCCGACCAGATGACTCTGAGTATGGCTCGTTTTTGACATGGATTAAAAAAAAAAAAAAAAAAAAAAGAGAACTTGAGCAAGGCACGGATGCGAGATAGCAAGATTCAAATGCTTACAGAGACCGCGTCGAGATTGAATAAAGCATAGACCAAGAATCTTCACAAAGACGCTGAGGATGAGCATTTCACGAACCAATTCTCAAAACAAAAGTTGGAAAAAGATCGCCAAGCTCTTCATCAAGCAGTAGATAGTGTCCTCACGAAGCTGCGGCGATTCGAGTATAGGGGTGAGGAGGAAGCCCTGGATTTAAATCTTACATCAGGTATCATGGAAATAAAGCTGAAGGTGCGACTCAGATACACAGACTTGAGCCCCACGCCAGGTTAGAACACCACAGTCCGGTCATCACACCTCTCACGGTGTGTAGCTGATGGCTCTATCCTAGCGCCTCCTGACTAAGTTAGGAGAGGCTAGCGCACATAAACATGCCCTTTACTGCATCTACAAAGGCCAGCACAACCTACAGCTTGTTAGGTGCGAGCTCTGCCATCTTGAAAGGTTCGCCCCGCACGCTTGTTCGGCGAGCGGTTTGCTCGGCACTTCCAACATAACTCCCCTTAACTATGTAGGAAGTAGCGCCATGCTGGGAAATAATGTCATTAGGTATATATAGAACATTGATTTACGTTCTTCAACAAGCAATTTCCTAGTTGGTCCAGTGGTCAGGATTTGTCGCTCTCACCGACAAGGCCCGGGTTCGATCCCCGGACTGGGAATATCTTTTGTTAAACCGACATTTTTTGTGGTCAGTCGGCGTCCGAACCATCTAGGTTCTCCTCATTCAGGTGGTGGATAAGTTTGAGAACGGCATGTTGCGCCTACTGATTTTTTTTTTATGGGAGGTTGAAATCTGGTGTGTATGTTTTTTCGACCATAATTCACTCGGAAACGATAGGAGCAGGAACTGGAGCACTGATATTGCAAAACTCCGGCATCCGGTAGAAGCCATCTGACGGTGCAGGTTGAAGTGATAGGTGTCATGAAATTGATGTGAAAGCCGCCTTTGTCAAGGGCTGAGACAATAGAGAGTGTGTGAGCGAGGGCAAGGAGGGGAAGTTGCTTATTGTAGAGTAGGTAACGCTAGCTCTTTTAAAACGTTCGTGGTGGGTTATCCTGAAGAACACCCTAATAGAGGTTGTGGAGCGTCATGACTACAAGGGTCAGGGAAAAGATAAGACAGCTCAAGAGCATCCACTCAAGTTTTCCTGTAGCAGCACTACTCCACTTTTCCGTGGCTGTAGCTGAGTATGTGCAGATCGATTAGGAGAGACAATGCAGGAAGAAGGGCAATGCATAGCTTTTTCGTGGATCGCCAAAGCCTATACCATACTTCACTATCCCTTGCTGACTTTGATGTTTTCTGTTTTTTTTTTGCCTCGCTTGACTTCTCTACGTCTTCTCTACTTTTCAGCTCTTCTTTCTCCCATTCTTGATCCCACACTCACAGTATCTGCCTTTCTTTCCTCAGTTCTTATTTTCCATTCCTCATTCACTCATTTTCCGTGGCGTTTCTTGGGAGTTACGATGTTTTTCGTGGCTATTTTTGTGCACCATGGTATTTTCTACTTTACTTCACATAGAGTATCACGACTATTTGCTGGTCCAAGCATTTCCGTCACTTCCATTACGGCTATTTCTTGCATTGATGGGTGACACGATGGCAGGGTCAGAGCAACATGATCTAGGCTAAATAGCGGAGCGGATGAAAATAAAAACTGAATAGTTGAGCTGAACTATGAACGACAAAGCAGAGCAGCTCAATCCCTGGCTTTTATCTGCACTACTCAAATATCGCATTTTTTTCTAAACTTATCATATATCGCACTTTTTTCTCTGTACTAACCATATGTTGCAATTTTTCTCTGTACTTTTTTCTGCAATAATCACATATCGTGCGCTTTTTTTTTTTCTTTTTTTGCTTTGGCAATCCTCCATGTCCAACAAATGTCGCCTAGATTGCTGCATCTATCAGTATGTAGCCCGTACTCCTACCGCCGACCAAACAGGGATCTTCAAATGTAAATCCGACCTTCGCAGATGGTTCTTGTACGTGATCCAGTAATATGGAGCAAATAGCTGTTGTATCTGTGCAAAGACATTCAAGGCTGTTGCAACTTTAAGGCCTCCAAAGAGGAAAAGGCATGTGGGATAGATACATGGATACTTACGCCAAAGACGAGGCTGTTATATACCTCTCCGCCTATTCAGCAACAGCAAAGCAGTTCACAACTTTTTTTTGACGCAATTGCATGGTTCACATTTTAAGAATAGCCCTTACTATAAGAAAATATGGCTTGCGATGAATTATTTGACATCCATAATTGCCTTGCCTGCATCACTCATTCTTTCCTTTCGCCGCTTCACCGCCAGTGCCCATGTCTTACCACTACCCCCATACCACACATCTGTTGGGCGAAGCCGGTGAAAGCAGGCGGTCTGCTATTCCGTGCCCCTCCCAGGACGAAGGTAATTGCCCATGCGTTGCTTCGTAATATAAAGTAGCTTGCATCAATGCACGCGGCTTTATTAATTCAACTTCGCTACTTGACCCTCTTTGAATCAACATAGCTGGCACTCAGGAAACAGACTGTACTCAGGCGTACAACGTTAGCGCAGCAATGCTCATCGCCTTCAGAACGTCGACAATGAGGACTCTACGCCTGGGTGCACAACTGGATTGCATAAAGAGGTGTGGGGATGCGAGAACAAGGACCTTTCTACAACCACCCACTTGCTGGAGCAGGAGCCATTGTACGCACACCGCAATCAACAGCATACTCTCTCTGCTGCGCCACCTGTGCCTGCAATGCTCAGCTGTCGCCTGCCACATCACAACTCCCTGGTGTCCACTTTCCACCGGTCCTTGCCGCTGATTCTCTTTCTGGTGGGGCTCACGCGATCGCCGATGGCATGTTCA